CACGTGGCTGTGACGTGTGTGTTCCCCAGCTTTGCCAGCTGGACGGCGTAGTGGCCCACCCCACCGGAGGCAGCTGTTACGAGAATGCTCTTCCGAGGACCGCTCCCGTCGAGTTTGACCCCGGCATGTTTGGTCAACGCATGGTGTGCTGTGAGACCGGCAATGGGAAGGGCAGCGGCTTCTTCGGCAGAAACTCCGAGCAGTCTTATTGCCGTCAAGCTCTCCTTGGCCACAGCATACTCGGCCAATCCACCTCCATCCTGTTAACCAATTAATTACTGTGTATATCAAATACGAAGTACGAAGTATCTTAGCTTGTAAGGTAAAATCGCATTTTTGACCCTCAATTAATCACCATATTAAAATGTCAGACTTGTGTTTGTGAGATTGTAAATGTCACCCTCGAATCGACAAATTTGTTGTAAATGTCATCTCTGACGTTGTAATCCATCTCAAAATCTGGACTACCAACAAATTCACTGGGGATAACATTTATCACACATCTGTAAGTTTAGGGGTAACATTTACAATCTTAGAAACAAGAGTCTGACATTTCAATATGATATCTAATTGAGGGACTAAAAGTGCGATTTTCTCATCTTGTAATTATAAAAGTATAGAAATTGCTCAATATATGACCAAAATATACACAAAATTCACAAATTAGACTAGGTATGTTTTAGCCCCCGAATATGACTTATTTAGTTCTATTAAAAGAATAACTTGATTAAAACTTCCCAAATTAGAAGTGAATGTGTCCCATTTTGAGAATGAAACATGATGGTCCTACTTAATAACTTTATTCATGTTTTAATTCTATTTAGGGAAGTTTGTCTTTCAAAGGGAAATGCGTAATGACTAATGAGACCATTTTGAACAAAAGTGCAATTCAAAAAAGTATTGATACCCATTAACCAATCCATTTAATTTTCTTAAACTATATATGCTACTTCCATATTCTACACTCATAAATAAGAAGAGAGGAAATGAAATAAAAGCAAACCAATGAGTGTGATAGATATACTCACACTCATGCTGAGAGTAGCCACAACTTTGTTGCCAACTTTGAACCTTTGAACACCTGAACCAACCTCTACTACCTCTCCTGCTATGTCACTAACTGATCCTCCTCAAAGATAACAGATCATAACAGTAAGATTGAATATATGCAATGTACATACAGTGATACAAAGTATACCATATTAGCCGAAATAATAAAATCAATTAAAAACCAGTGATCTTATTTAAGAAAATACATGATTAAAATATAATTTATGAAATGGCCATAACTTGTTCAGGGGAATTATGTATGAAGTAACAACAACAAAATTATACTTCACGCTTTTTTTTAGATTAGAGTGTTCGACTTTTTAAATCATAATTATTTTCAAAAATTAGAAAAATTGGGTTATAATAATAAAAGCAAAAGCAAGACTTTGATTCAAAAAGTTTGTTGAGTGAATGTATTGACAATGCTAGTTTGCAATATAAAACTTAATTAATTGAATGAATACATATAAATTGACGGGAAATTTGATTTACTAGCAGAGATAGTTGCACTTAGCTTAAACCATTGTTTTATGTAACTTGTCTCTAAGATCTGAGATCGGTTCGATTCTGGTTAAAATCCGATAGAACCGTATAAAATATTGTAGGTGTTAAATTCGGTTCGGTTCTAGTAAAAAATGTAGTTGTTAAATTCAGTTCTTACCTTTTTTTCGATTCGTTATAAAAAATTATTATCCTCCTAAAATGAAAACATTTTACCTTCAGTTACATAAAAATTTTCAAATTTAAAAATCATGAAAATAAATTTTGAAGTTATGACCATTACATTATACATACACAATATCCCAATATTCAAATATCACAAAAATATCCAAGTGCAAACATTAAATTTAAACATAACAAAAACGTAAAGGTTTAAAATAGGCATAACTGCCTAGCAAAAAGGTTTAAGAGTTCCAAGGTACACATCTAATAGCGGGTAATTCAACCCCAAAATAATATTCTAATATTAGTATTGCACCATAAGTAAAAACTACATATGTAGTAATAAACTGACCAGTAATATTAGTTATTTACTATAAACTACTACAATAACAAAAGGAAAGTTGGAAGTTTATTTAGGAACGGAGGGAGTATATATTTTGGCGTAATGTTTTTCAATAATTTATTCAACTAACTTCTCAATTGAAATTTAAATTGAAATTTGGTGGACATGATCTATACTTAATTAAAAATGATACTCCGTATTACAAATTTTTATCACAAAATTCCACCCAGAAGCATCTGAAATGAAGATTACTCATACAAATGTAAAAGAACTTCGGTTCCTGCATAGGAACCGGAACCGAACTGGAACCAAATTAAACCAATCAAAGACTTTAGGAATCGAACCGAAAAATTTAGAAGTCAAAATTATAGGAATCGACCCAATCGGATAATTCGATTCAGATTGATTTTTTCGGTTTTACGGTTTCATGTGCGAGACATACTTTTTTCTACCGGTAACGGTCTACTGTACGTTGTACTCCTTAAAAAGGATATAAGTAGAAAAAGACAAGGTAAGAAAACAGTTACCTGGAATATGAGGAAATTTGCGAGGAAGGATCGGTCGCAATTCACCAGATTGAACTTTCCAATCAACCGGATTTATGCTTACAGCTTCCAACTTAATCAAGATTTGACCATTCTTAGGAGCAGGCATAGGAATTTCAACATGCTGCAAAAACCAAAACCAGCCCATTTTTTCGTTTACCATAACACAAACACTATTATCTTTTTGGCATTTTTAAGAATTGAAGGACATCCAGTGTTAAATTCTCTCACTATTGGTTGTCTGCTTCAATTTATACTTTAAATTATACTCCCTCCGTCCCGCAAAGAAGTTTCCACTTTCCTTTTTAGCAGTCCCAAAAAGTAGTTTCCATTTCCTTAAATGGGAAGTTATCAACCTCAAAACAGTGCCAAACAGTGCAAAACAGTGCCAAACAGTGTCGAAACAGTGTCAAAACAGTAAAATTTACCCATGTTAAGTTTATTTCCTTAATATGTGTGAAGGTCAAACCGTGAACTTTTTTACGGGATGGAGGGAGTATATTTTATGCAATTGAACCCAAAAGGGTTGGGATTAAGGTGACGATGTTGAGAAAGAATGGAACCGAAAATATTATGCGACCCCGTCCCATTTTATGTCCTATTTTAGTTGAAAGAGTAAAAGTTGTTTTCTTAAAATTTGAGTATAGTAATTAATGTGATGTGCTATAAGTCACACATTTGTTTCCAAAAATGAAAATGTGACAATTATTTTGAGATGAACGAAAAAAGGAAAATACTCCGTATGACAAGTAAACTGAGACAATAAATACTTGGGAGTGCATTAGTAAATAAAACATGACAAGGAAAAACCTTCAAAGCTGAGGTTCCTCCCCCGTAGCGATCAAACTGCACGGCGCGCATAAACTGTCTGGCAGCAGACATGACTTGTTTTTACCAATTTGTGATTTTGTGACGGGTTGTAGCAGTGTAGAAGAACAAATATGAGAAAGAGATCGCTATTGTTATTTGTGAATGAATTTGTTTTTGTGATCTTAGTATATATAGATATAGATAATGACCTGGGCGGGTGAGATTTTGTTCGCAGCGTGAAGGACGGCCTTCCATAAAAATTGACGTGAGCCATGAGCTGATCTTTTACAGCAAATTATTACAAACACCAAAGTCACATCCCATTTTTCTACAACTTTGACCGGACAAATGGTGTGGCATAGCTATTGAAAAAGAAAAATTACTTTTATGTACACGTTTTTTTATACACTTCAGTACACCTCCCTGTTTGTGAGAGTATTTTTTTGTCAGTGAATCTCAATCGACAGACAAAATCCAGTTTGTTTTGTCTGTAGAATTTTCCACAGACAAAACAAGTCAGTTCTGTTTGTGAACTGAGATTCACAGACAAAAAAAACCTCGCACAAACACGGAGGTGTACCGATGTGTACAAGAATGTGTACACCAAGAAGTTTTGAAAAAAGTATATATACACCCTTATAACCACTTTTATACTCATCATATATGTGCAAAGCTTTTTTTTGTCTGTGAATCTCGTTCACTGACAAAATGTGGTTATGCAAATTTTGCACAGACAAAATAAGACATATTTTGCATGTAAACCGGATTGACAAACAAAAAAAACTTTCATGTGAATATAAAGGTGTGTACGACAACAATTATTGATAGATATTTAGGAATCAAAGATGATAATGTGAGCACGTGAATATAATCTAAGTCAAAGGTCCCTTAAAACTTTGTGTAAGACGGGAGAGGATTGAGCCCAAGGCCCCCAAAAAATGAAAAATTAGGGGCTCAAAATTATATATATATTAATTTTAAATATATTATTTTTCTAGTTATTTTTTATTAATTCCCTTGACATTTCGGCTTCTATTTTTAGGCTTCTAGGCTGCAGGTTCTATAGTTAGTTCTATCAGTGTATATTTTTTTATTTGCTTTTTTAGTTTGTAATTTCAAAAAACTTCTAACTTCATATTGATTTGATAAATGTTAGGATGTTTTTATTTGGACTGTAATTTGTTGGTCTGGTCTGGTCTGGTCTGAACTGATCTGGTCTGGTCTGGTTTCTTTGTATTTTTATAACTATCCAAGTCTGATCTGGTCTGGTCTGAACTGGTCTGGTCTGATCTGGTCTAGGACGAATTAAAGTCCAAGTAAAAACATCCTTAGTGTGATGTATTAATAATTTGCATGTGTGAATGTCGATTGGCTAATTTGTATAATTTTTAAATACCAATTGATTCTTGCTTGTTTATTTATTTATTTAGTGTCATCAATATCAGCCCTCAGGAATTTGTTGATAATGACCAGCCGTCTATTGTGTATGTCAATGAAGAAAGCCGTTCTTCAAAGGGCTGATAAGAGAAACGGTGATCCAAGGTTAAAAGAGAGAAAAACGTTTATTCTCATGTCTGAATTAAGCGCAAGGGGTGCAAATTTTAATCTGAGCGAATAAATCATCTTTCTTAATAAATTGTAGGTAAAGACAACTTAATATATGAATCATTAAGTCACCATCTCCATTAAACCCATTAAGTAAACAGCCCCTAAAACTATATTACATACATATGAGAAAACATCACACACCACAAACTTAGTAGGCCTCGTGGTTATATTTAGTGTTGGTGTATTCTTCGGTTTCCCAAAGGAAAGAGCCAAAAGCAACAGCCTCTAACACAATCCTTTTAAGACTAGCCAATGAAGTTGAAATTTCATCATCCCTATCCACAACCCCAAACAATGCATTTGTATGCCTCTCCATCAGGTTGATTGCAGCCTTAGATTTTGGCTTACCATACATTTGTACGGTTTCTCTATCAAACCTCCTCATCACATAAGACTTCAATGTTGTTTCGGGCTTCACCTCGTGAACTAATGACATTTGCAAACCACTCCCCTGACCCGAAGGACATAGTGGTCTTTTGCTCGATAATGAATAGCCTTCAAGAAGGGTTTGTTCAAGATGGTGTCTCAGTGAAACAGATTTGAGAAAATAACCGTAAAGAATAGACTCGGCATAGACTTTGCTTAGGTGGATCCGACCGACTTTGGTTGGGGCCCAGTTTTCCGTGACACTTGAGTCTGGTCTCCAACCAATGACGGTGACAAGATGGTCTTTTACCATATCAAGAACTTCCGAGCTGTGTATTGACTCCAATTGCCAGTCCCTTGAAGGCCATATTTCTAGCCTTCCTTTATAAATGCATTTGGATAGTCGGGGAACCAAATGAACCTTTATCTCAGAGAACTTGTACAGTATTAGCATGTACATCACATCTTCAACTCCTGTTTGGCAGTCCATCTCTCTCAAATCAGCAATTCTCCTAAAACCAACAAATAAATGACCATATTCAAGCAACATTAAAACTTGTTCTTTAATTGAACTTAAAACCTTATCAATATTAAGGAGACAAATTCGATCCGAAATATACGTAACTTATTCAAGCTAGAATCACTATATTTAAGTGGTGTCTCACTTAAATGAATTACTCCATTTATGCCCACACATTATGAGATGGGGCAAAGATGGGGTACATTTTGGAGTACCTGTTCTCCAAGTTACCAAGTTTACACCTATTTATGGCCACAAGTTCTTAAACACCCCCTTTGGTCACTTTTATTTTCACAGCAGTGGGTCCAGCTTAAATAGCTCCCTATTGTTGATTCAGCAAGTCGGGACCCACAAATTTTGCCACAATTGTTTTTGTATACTACTCCGTAGTACGGAGTATATTTTTGTATTAAACATTTTTCTGGCCCACCAGAAATTTAAACACAAAATGGGGTCTGACCTGCTTTAGTGATTGGGCGTAATTAAATATTACATGTCCAGTAATGCGCCAGGTTAAGCCACCCGTCCATGGGTCACATAATAACTTCTCGGGAGTATCACTGTATCAGTCTATCAGATTGATAGTCATAAAACGAACTACTACCTCCGTTCCCATTTTAACTTCCAAATGAGTTTGGCACAAAGTTTAAGATAGTGGATATTGTGTGGTGAAGAGTTGTGCAGAGAAGAGAGAAATATGTAAGAAATGTTGTGAACCACAAATTCTTTACCAAAAAGGGAAAGTGGAAGTTTTAATTGGAATGGACGAAAAAGGAAAGTTGGAAGTTTATTTAGGAACAGAGGGAGTAGCACATATTTATAAAACAAAAATGCTAAAACTACCTCATGTTGTACCCAACCCTCTGTTTGTGGCTAACAAAAGCACTTCATTAAAATAGAGTAATTAATTTAATTAGGTTGGATTTTTGTGAGCCACAAACATATGATGGGGTACAAAATAGGGTACACAATGGGGTAACTCTAGCATTCCTCTTTATAAAATAAGGAATGATAGGTTTTGTTATATTATCACTATTGACAACATAAATTTGAATTACAAAATTAAATCAAGCGAATATAATTAAATTGATGAAATTTTGATCAAAACGATTGAATCTGTTAATTTAAAACCTACTACTTAGCACCTATTGTATTACGTAGTAATAAACTAAAGACAAAATTATAGGAGAAACAACAGGAAATGACTATTTTATTACATTAATTTACGCACGGAAATCAAAAGTTACATATGGAGTATTTGATAAAAAAAGTTACCACAAAAATAGATATCCACCCTAAAATTCACACTTCTCACTACTTATTTAGTTGGCGTCATTCAATTTAATGTTTATCAACATGCAAAATTGATTTTTAATATATTTAATTGGTTAGTAGTTTTATTTAAACAAATTTACATACTTCAATTGAAAAAGTTGAATAACGTTTCCAAATTAATAGTGTAATTAAAGTAGAATTTCTATGGGAATTAGAAAAGGCAGAGGAAGATTACCTGTGGAGGCATGCTTCATCAGAACCCAAGCTCAAATTCATCCTCGCAACGGCTTCATCCCGGTCGTAACCCAATTGCATCAGCTGCTTCTCCACGGCTATCGGAAAATACTCCCGATCATTCTGAAACACCGTGCTCAATAGCCTCCCCGGCGGCGTTGTCGGCTCCAACGGGGCGGTCAATCCGCTAAATTCACACTGATTGCTACTATTCCTACCACTGGCAACCAGAACCAATCGCTTCCGCAAGCCGGGAACCGAACCCCGGGCCAGCCAATTCTGAAAAGCCAACCGGAACGGCGGCTTGGCGTTCTTCGCCGTGAAAGTTGAACAATTAAGAGCAGAGGACGAGGTGGTGCGGGAGAAGAGGGTACAGTCCATTAAGCAAATCAACGATTGAAATAACGAAAAGGGAAAAGATGATCAAATTAGAAGGGCTTTGGGAATAGAGAAACGGATAATTGGGTGGGCAATATGATGACGATGAATGAATGATGATAAGGTGGTAAGGACGTTATCCGTTACATAGCAAAAAAAGGAAGAAAGGAAGAGAAACAAGAATCCTTTTCTGGGAGGGAAACAGCGGGCTGTAATTACTGGGATATTCGGTCTACGGATTCTTCATTAAAATAACATAGCATTTGACCAAATTCGGTGGAAATAAAATAAAGGTGATAACTCCGGTACCTTTCTAAAAAATGGGGTACCGTACCTACCATTCATTTGATTGGACCACACCACTTTATCTTTTTAATTTAGATTTAAATAATTCAACAGCTACATTCTCATTGGTCCATGTGGACAAAGGTATGGTACCTAATGGGTACCATAGAATCTACCTAAAATAAAACCTACTTCGTACATGAGATTTTGCAAATGAGGAATAATTAATTAGTATCACAAATTCTTTAATAAAAAAGGAAGGTGAAAAAGTTAGTGAAATATCTTAAAAAGAATTTGTAAAGTTTTTAAAGGCGGAGGGAGTATTATACTATCCTCTATAACTAGGGTTTGTAAAGTTTTTACTAGGGGCGTAGTTAAAAACATTCTAAATTTTTAGTGTAAAAAACTTCGTGTAAAATTTTTTTCAAAAAATATTCTTTGTACTGGCCGAGTCCGATACAGTGTCCTGGCTCCGCCCGTGTCTGTAACTTTTTAGTTGTAACGTTCAAAATTTTATACTCCAAATTATTCACATGTTTTACTTTGACTATAATTTACTATTGAGAGAAAAAGTCAATTTAATGAACCTTTCGACAAACGTGAAAATAACAATATTACATTTTACAATTAAAAAAGATAAAAAAGAATTGAAGGAAGTATTAAACTACATTGTTGTAATGATAAAAAAAAATACATTGTTGTACGGCAAATGTCCTAACCATTTTCATTATGTTTTTTGGAAGGTATCCTTTTCGGTATTAGGAAACGTAATCCATCTCACTATCTCAGAGTTAAACTGGCAAAGTAATCCATTAGGAAAAAAGGAGTATGTGATGTTAATTCGATCGTTTGATTTGGTTTTACATTATGGGTTTCTTTTTTGGGAGTTTGACTTTGCAAGTCCAAAACTGTGCTCTTTCATTGGGAATCAAATCTTCAATTAGTGATTCTAAACCGTCCAATTATCTCAAAAAGCATCTTGTTTTCGCACATATTTACTAGAGCATCTTCATCATCATATCGTTGATAACTCACGTTTTCATCTTATCACCCTTTTTAATCATATTTTTTATTTAAACGCGTATTTTTTATTTTTTCGCATTGGATTATTTAAAATTGAAGTTCCTATTCCGATTAAATTGATTATATTTACTGAAATGACTATTTAAGCTACTTTTTCGGAGTATAATTTTTCTTTATTAATAAAATATATTTTAAATATTTATTCCTAGAATTCATCAGATTCAATTAATCAATCGATTCAATCAATTTCAACATTTGAAACATGTTTGGCTAAATTGAGTCTAAACTGAAAGTATTTTTATACTAGTACGTAGTAAATATTAGGCTAATAAAATTCAGTGAAGACTTTGTTTGGCGAGTAGATTTTCCGTACTAGACTACTATTTTGAATAAAATCGCTCAAATGAAAAAGCTGCAAATACAATCATTTTGAAATATGTCGATTTCTACTGTTTGTTATGATCAAACAATTGAATTAACAAATATTTTTTTCCTCGACGAGCCAACTTATTTTGCTAGTCAAATCCGTTAATAAAATCTGTTATCTGCAAAATGTCAAATATGTCTTGTCTTTTGTATACACTTCTATGTATTACTTCGTATTTTCTAAAAATATTTTGTGTACAGGCTCAGTCCGGCCCAATAATCTGACTTTGACTCTAACTCAAATTGACAATTCATTGTTTTTCATTCATTATCTTTCCATTTCTGAATTGATAAAATTCATAAAAGATACAATTCCCTGAAATTTTCCTGTTATTTTCTCTTTTATCTATACTAGTATTATACCCGTGCGATGCACTGGACAAAAAAATTCTAATATTATTTACTCGTATGATATAGTACATATTGAAATATCAATGTAAAATATATTATTTTTAAGAGTATTAGAATACATGAATGAGTAAATTAAAATTGTCTCCATTCCCGATAAATGTTATCATATCACTTGTTATTTTAGAATCACATTTCAAGGTTTTCATATCTATGTGAATAAATACTCAAAACTAATACATGACAATTTAAACATCACATATTAAAAAAAAATACCCTCATAACTTCACAATTACCGTTGATTAACTCATTATATTATATACATACTCATATTACTTTAAAATATACTCGAATTATCTTGCTTAATTATCCTCTAATTGTGTTGTTTTTGGATGAGAATTTTAAATTGGAACAAAAGTATTACTGCGTACTACTTAGGATATAGGAAGAGCATTTATGATTGGCGTATATGATTTGCTTTTTTGGAAGAACGTATATGATTGGCGTATATGATTTGTTGATAGCGTCTTTTGGTATGTTTAAAAATATAAGTGAATAAAAACATTCTTTTGTTGAAACACCTCATCTAATACACACACATATGTAAATTAGTGAAAAAAACAAAAAAAAAACACGTTAAAACTTTGTAAGTCGTATTTTGAGCATTTGTAAGAGGCTGTCGGTTGAGGTTTTTCTTTTAATTATTTTTTACTGAATGTAATAATAATAATAATAATAATAATAATAATAAAAAGCACAATTATAAATAGTTTTTTTATTAATTAAATAATAATTATTTAAATATTTTTTTATTTAAATAGCACAACTCTAATAAATACAACACTTTATTTTAAAAATATGCCTTCCAGCAATGTCTTTTGAATTATTTCTTTTTGTCCAACCTACAATTATAAAATTATGATATGTTTTTTTCAACCAATTTTTGGTGAAATCAATTGTTACAAAATAATACTACCAACTTGAGTAATAATATATATTTATTGATATGGTAATGAATGAATGTGAAAACCTTCTTACATCCGCATTGCTTTTATAGCTGAAAGTCCATTACAATCTTTTAGAAATTTGGAAACAATCAATAAGCTTCATTATGCCCACCACCTATTTCAACAAATAAGGTTTAAGTATTTGAGTATTCCCATCATCCATTTCAACCAATAAAGTTTAAGTATTTGACTATTCTCACCACTCATTTCAAACAATAGAAAATTAGTATTTTGATCAAAGTAAAGTATGCAATAAAAATTAAAAGAAAAACTTGATATTGACATTTCTTGGGGGACATTATTCCTCAAACTTCTTTTACTTTTATATAAGAATAGATTTTACAAAGAGATATCGGCAGAGTAGAACTTGAGACGGCACAGATGACAAAGCATATAATCTTATCTAAACACTAGTGATATACGTAGTATTATTGTACGTTAGGCGACAAAGTGTATAACTGCCCAAATATGGTAGGCCACGTTAACCTTTCACCCCTTACTTCTATGGCTCTATCCCACTAAAAAATGCGTCACTTTAGACTTTCAAATTTTTTTTATAATAAATGTAATATTTTCTTAAAATTTTCATACTTCGATTAGATTCTCCCCTCTTAATTTTTAGTTTTCAAAAATGATTTATTGTCTTACATGATGTAATATACTTACTTGGAAATTTAAAAGAAAAAACACCTAAAATAATTTACATAACTTAAATAAATAAACAACAAAACAACTCATTGTTTAAGATTTATGATACTTATTATATAAAAATTCTTAGTTTGATAACTAGTACTCAATTTTGTAAAATATATAACAAACGGTATTAAATACCAGACACACTAGTCACACAGTTTACAAACGATGTGAAGTGAGTCCAAAATATAAGTGTTTATTGACATTAAATTACACAATTCATTTACTTCTTACGTTCTAAAAGACTTTATTGCATAGATAATAAATTTTAACTTATTTTAGCATTAATACAAATATAATATGCAATATATATATATATATATATATATATATATGAATTACCAATATAATTTTATTCTAAAAAGACTAATCCGTATTATAATATTAAGAAAAGTCGTTGTGACTCATGAACACTCTCATTAGTAGCCAAAAATTGTAATTAAAAAAAACATATTTATGGGACTAAAAGAGGGGATAAATTCTTAAATAGGACCATATATGTTTTATTCCCCAAATAGGATCATATTACTCCTATTTTGAAATCTACATAATTTCTCGTTCCGTTTTCATCCCTCTTTAAGCGATCGACAATTTCTACTGCGCAGACCTTATCCCTCCCTCTCTCCTGCGCACCATCCTCCACATCCCATTCTTTTCAATCTATTTCTTCTCCATTACATAGCATCCATTGCATAGCAGATCCACTCATCTCCCCTTCTACAATCTATTTCTTCTCCATTGCACAACAGATCGATCGTCTGCTCCATCTCTGCACATCAGATCGATCAACTTCATCGCACTGTCTGTACGCCATCGTCAATTTCATCCTTAGCCGCCGCCGCTGACGACTCCACCGCGCACACGCCGCTGTTTGGTAAGGTTTCTTTTTCTTCTTCTTCCTCTTCTTTTTCTTCATCCTCCTCCTCATCGGCTCATCCTATTCTTCTTCCTATTATTCTATTTTTTTTTGCTTTGAAAATGATTTTTCTGAGTTTTCCTCCATTCCTCTATTTTTTTGAGTTTTGGCATTAGATTTGTGGGTTTTTGGACTTCTATTTCAAATTTTTGTTTCATGATTGCTTGATTTTAAAAGAAAACCAGTTTTCTAGATTTTTGGACTATGACATACGATTTTGCCATGTTTATGACATATTTTTGGATGATGATATACGATTTTGCAAATTTATGAAAATCATATTATGGCAAAACAATTTTTTGTCATTAAATTCTTATTTCTGTTAAAGTTATTGTTCTTTTTTTTTTTGAAAATTTAGTTGTGGACTTCATATTTTGCCAAGATTATGGCAGTTTTGTGTAAATCATTCAAGATAAATTTGCCAAATTTATGGCAGATTTGAAAATTTGTTTTCAAGGCAGATTTTAAGTACTCTTCAAGGTCAAATCTGCCAATTTAATGGCAATTTTA